TATAATCTTTTGAACATAATAATAAATCGTTGGTGATCGGCGTGTCCGTTTGAGTATGTTACCATGCAAAATGCAGTGCGATTTTTCATATAATATTTTAATATTTATCGTCTATTGTATATATTTAGGCGAGACGATATGATAAATTTGGAGAATATTATTGTTATGTTATATTGCTGCTGTGTTCACGTCGTTCACGATATAAATCATGCCCCGTCGGCGTTATAAAATGCGCTTACACTCGGCTGGTTATAGAAATCAGAAGAAAAATTATGTTATTTTTAATATCAAAGATACATTTTTGAGAAACTTTCAAACTCGACACGGAATATCTAAATATAGGTAGGTACTTACTACACATATGGAATTTTGTTCAATGCGTTTATTATTACATCACACTTCAACAAAAAGTTAACAAATTGATTGTTTCTCGAATTCGTGTATAATCTATAATATAAAAATGAATCGCAGAATGTGTTGGTAAGCGCATAACTCAACAACGCCTGGACCAATTTGGCCAATTTTTTTTTTTAATGTTCATTGAAGTCCAAGGATGGTTTTTACAGCGAGAAAAATTCGAATAATTGCAGGAAAGACCTTAAAACAGCCCTTTTCTTTTTAAAACAGCCCTTACTATAATATGAATAATATAATATTGATCGTCTCCAAGGTAATGTAATCTAATGTACTGATCGAGAACATCATCTATGGTGGTCGATTATTTGTCAATATGTCGTAAGTGTTGTTTTTCTTGGATTTTCTGTTACATACTCTACCGAGTTTGCTTTTGTCAACTGATACACGAATTAAATTCGTATATCGCGTTTTGTGCAGAGTGTTAAGTTACCTATGATCACTAATTATTGCATGTGACACAATAATTTATATTTGATATGCCTCCTATACGACGAAGCAATTTAGGTAGAAAAACCCAAAATGCTACAAACCAAGGTAATTACCGATCTAACCAAAGTGCACAAGAACGTGAAAGAATTCGGATATCACAAACGCGTGAAGCGCGAGCGCGACATTCAATTAATAATCGCGCAAGTTTGAATCGAGCTGCTTTCAGTTACGACGTGTCAATTGACTACAGTAACTACCACTGTGTTGTTATTGGTTCTATGAACTCGGTTTGCTCATATTGTAAGGCTTTGAAATACAAAAACGAAGCCAATGCATTATGTTGCGCAAATGGTAAAATGAAATTGATACCATTGGATCCACCACCAGAGCCATTGTACTCATTGGTTTCAGGAATAGGAACAGATTCCATACACTTTTTGACAAATATYCAACAATATAACAACTGCTTTCAAATGACTTCATTTGGGGCAACAAATGTAGTTCGGGAAAATGTTATGCCAACTTTCAAGGTATGTATTATTAGGTATAGCAGTCAATCATAATTATTTTAGCGAACAATATTTTCCGTCACCTAAGTTAAGATGTGTCACTTAGTCATCATATTATTTGGTGATTCAGTTTTAGTGACTATTTTATTATTTTGAAACCCAATATAATTATTTGATGATTCAAATATTCATCGATTTTTCAATGTTTTCGTCGATTCGTCTCAAAATATACATAAAATTGTATTTATTCAATTTAGTTACAATTGAATATTACATATTATTGAGGTACCTAAGCATATTAAATATTATTTGGTGATTCAAATTAGGGGACAGATATAATTTTTAAGAACAAATATTATTTAAGTTTGATCACTGACAATCCATAAATTTATACCCAACATTGCTTATTTATTTCATTTTATTTTATAGTGTTTGGTACAAACATAATATTTTTTAAATTTACAGATGCAATGCCAAATACTCGTATATCACAGAGTAGGTTCACTGTTACCAGTTTCAGATAGCAACTACAAATTCCTGCAAATTTATTTTATGGGCAATTCACCACAAGAAATTGATCTGCGTTGTGCACATAACAATTTAGTAAAGAGTTCTATTGTAGAACAATTACAAACTTTATTTCATGAACACAATCAATTGATTATATTGTTTAAAACTGCACTGGATCTGATGCCATCTGATAATTACAAAATTTTAATCAGAGCTGATAAAACACCTGCGGGTCAACATGCAAGGCGTTTTAATGCACCAACTATTGATGAAGTTGCTATCGTTGTAGTTGGAGAAAACTTGGAATCCCGTGATATTGTTTTATATCGTCGGAATGATCGATTACAACGTATAAAGGAAACACACCGCTCATATGACGCACTGCAATATCCCATTATATTTTGGCAAGGTTAAGATGGCTATGATTTCTCAATAAAAATGATAAATCCCATTACAGGTATTTAAAATATTAGTTTAGCTATGGCGATAATATCACAGTCACCATATTATGTATTTTAATTTTATATTTCAATGTTATAAAAACAAAATMTATTTACAGGYKCTGAAACCAACAAAAAAGTCAGTTCAATGAACTATTATTCATACCGCCTAATGATTCGGGAAAATGAAGACAAGCATATATTGAAATGTAGGCGATCATATCACAAATATGTTGTTGACATGTATGTTAAAATTGAAACGGAGAGATTAACATTCATCAGGTTGAATCAGACCAAACTCCGATCTGAAGAGTATATTCACCTTCGAGATGCGATTAATACTGATGGAATTATTTAATTATTTTTTATTCACACCGCCCTATCACCAGGGCCGGTGACGGTTCTGTTCAGGAGAATTTTTTGCCCCGACAGGACGAGTACGGTGACGGGGAGGTGATTCAAATTAAATGAAATAACAAATAACAAATAAAATTGAATAAAATTGAATAAAGTTGAGTCATATGGAGATGGTACATTTAACGGGCAACGAAGTGCACGGGATCAGCTAGTGATATTATAAATTGTACAAAAGGATGACTGCATTACTTCGAGGGGGGGGGGGGGCTTTGTTTAAGATTCTTTTGATTTTTATGCGACTACTTTGACGACGATATTAGACGGATAATATTATATAGCACAATTATATACTTTTGAAACATTTGTTTTGCGTGCATATTGCACAGCAGTCGCCAGTCGGTTACGGTAAAAATTAACATTTACCTCGCAGATACCTATACTTAATATACATTTTTATAGGTGGAGTACACCGCGGAAGACGACACGGCCGTCATTATTTCATACCAATATATATTTTTATAATTTGACTGTACAATAATTAATGTACAATCATCATTTAAATTGTATACAACTGTAATAATAGTGTGCAACTTACTTGAAAGTTATATACATAGGTATTATGTTATGTATATAATATAGTGTATGTTATTAACGTCGATGCCTATTTATTATGCGATTAATACGAACCGGTCTTTCGATGGAACAATAATATAATTAATAACATATATTATTATTTAATGTATATATAATATTGTAAATCGCGTAGGATTTTTAAAGGCGCATTGGAGGTAGATATAATAAAGAAATGGCGCTTACTATACCGTAAATCGTAATCGTTATTTAAGTTACGCGCGTCTGAGTGCGTGACTTGCACCGCAGTGAATATTACATATTTTTGCCGACTACGTAGTTGAATTGAAAATTACGAAACTCAGAGTTCTCGGGACAACAAATGAGGACCACAGATCTCACATTACGATCCAATTGGATTCGAATCTGAAAGATACGTGTAGGCAAAGAAGGGCAATTTAACGAATTAAATTAACTCTAGTTAAGTTAATATAGATAAAAAAACAGCACATTATAATATATTATATATAATTCGGAAAATTTTTGGTAAATATGGACAAAAATATCGCATTAAAAAAAAAAAAAATAATAATATCTACTTTTTTTTAATTGGTATGTGGATCACATTAAGAGTATTGTGTGCCTGTCAATTATGTTACATAAGGTTATTTTATCTAGAAACATTTTAATAGAAATTATTGTAATAATAATTATTACCTACATATAAAAGTATTTTTTTATTTAAAACCATCCACCTGTAATAGGTACAGTTATTAATGTATACAGAACTATTAAAACTGAAATCATCAAATACATATTTAATTAAAACTTAATAGATTATTTTTAAATCAACCGAAAAAAAATTGATTTTTAACGGTCAATTAAATTAGATACTTAAGTTAAAATTTAATTAGAAAATTAACAGACTAATTTGGTGGTAAAAAAGTTTTTTTTTTTTAAATTAACTTTTTAACAAAGTATATATTAATGCCTACCGCGATAGGGATGAGTGGTCCGATCTAAACATTTTGATATAAAACTCTATTGATACGATACCTCTGAAATTTTTTTTCTTTCCTGAAATCTACGAATCACCATTATGCTATCCTGCACAGCTCATCAATTAGATTCGTTTTTGAGTTTGCAGCATTAAATTAAAGAGACGTTCGCTGCAAATAAAAACAATAATAATTGAAAAATTGACGGTCCTCGTTAAACCATCGAATTCAACGCTGGATATGTTACGCCCCACTGTCATTGGCCAGCGGATGTGAGAATTTCCCTCTCGTGGTTTTTCGACTTGAGCTCCAACTTATTTTCTGCAGATCTATAAAATGTGCGTACCCGCACTTCATCGTGAATTATTTAATAACTGGAGAAAAATTTCAACTCCTTTAAAACATAATATTATATAAGGTCGTAATGTTATATTATGTTTGTATTAAAAACTTATCTTGGCGAAATTATAATAATTAAGTGGCACCGCACTCCACCAGGACCGCGACAGAGTTCTCTTCGGCCGCCGTCGCGATGGTCATCGACGGCGCTCGAACGCCGGCGGCACGTGATCGCGGGCGGCTGTGGTAGACGAGCGGGGCGATGAGGGGAGTGGTGACGGAGGATATTCGCGCGCGCGAAAAAAAAAAAAAAACCAAACGGAAAGAAAGAGGAAAAAAAGGGGTACGACTCCGTTACGGACGTCTCTCACCACCACCACTAAGGCACTAACGGACCGGACAGAGCGAGTATAGGTCTGCAACCATTCGGTCGATCAGTCGTTCAGACAGTCGGTCGCCGTCCACGCGTGTCTATTATTGTTGTTTCAACATCGCCGCATAGCAATACATTTTTTCTAACCGTCTATACGACTCGTATTATGTTATTATTATTATTATTATTATCATAGACGAACGGAATTAAAATTGTACATTAAGTTATTGTTATAATCGTCACCGTCGTCGTACTGCGCTCGTGTCGCACATATATTCTCTCTCCGCGAGTACCTACTGTTGTAAGTGTTGGCGCGCGCCCGTGTATGTGTGTGTGTAAGTGTGTGTCCGCTCGCGTGTGCCGTCGTCGCAGTCGACCGCGTATATGAGTACGCTCGTCGCGTCCTGTTGTACGAGCACGTCTGTCGTGCTGCGCGCGTCGTCCGTACCGCTTGTCGCCGTCCGCGTGCGTATCCTCCGCTTGACCTACAATCCGCGTCCCGACAACGTACCACCGCCGCCGAGCACATCGATATCTCTCGTCCGCGATCGATACGCGTTTCCGCCACCGTCGTAGCGAAAAAAAAAATCTTTCACTCGGTCGATATCACCGGTGGACTTTCCTCGTAGAATTTAAATAATATTATTATCATACAATTGTTGTTGGTGCTCGTGCAGTGCCAATCCATCGTCGTCCGCACGAGGCACCCCAGACGGCGATGACGCCCTGAAGACGTCTTCGGAGTGTCACTGTCGCCTAAAGTACGGCGCAGGACGGGCCCCGCTCGAGGTAAGCAACCTGCAGATGTTATTATTTTAAATTTTCTTTTACCTTGTTAAAAAGCAACTTTATACCACTCGGTTGTCGTGATGTAAATGTGTAGGTGTCAAGTATGCTCACGTTACGAGTTTTCTCGGTTGCATAATTTTTTGCCCCAAAAACTCTCCACGAGCCTATAATATGTTTTATCCGTATGACACTCGTTTTGAAACGTCTGAGTAGGTTAGGTACTGATAGTGCATCAGATGCCACTAGGTTCAATTCATTTTAAACCACCCGATTGAAAACTAAAATGTATAAAATTACACGATTTCATTATCGTCGCGTTGAGGTCGAAACCGTTTCATTATTGAGCAATTCCGCGGCTGGTTGAGCAGCAATTAACTAAGAAGACACACAATTATTATTACCATATTACATAGCAGTACTGAACTGAAATCACAACAATCGTTAAATTATTATTATAGTAATATTATTATTATATACATTCTAGGTTTAATTTTTTTTTCTTACTTCGAATATATTGCTACTTATATTATTATTAAATGGGTACCACCGGGCACCAATATTGCAGTATAATTGTTCACACTACATACATGTAGGTATAATGTATTATAATAATCATAATATATATATTTACACGTATCTGATCAAACCTTTATTAATACATACCTAAAAAATATTAAAGTAATATAATATAAGTTAATGTTTTCGGTCATTGCGTCGGTTGCCTGTGTGTGTGTGTGTGTGTGTGTGTGTGTGTGTATCAGAAAAATTAGTTTTATCAATTGCTAAAATATTCCACATACAGTACGAAAATGTAGTATACGATTGCGATACTAAATATGTGTCCCAGTTAGGTGCCTATATACATGTGCATTGAATATCTAAAATTAAACATAATCTTAAGTATGTATTAAAAAATTATTAGCCTTAAAGTATTATGTTGCGCTTAATTCCGTATAATTTGCGTTTGTTGACATTTCTAAATGATTTTTCATTTTAACCGTTATACCTATATTTTCCATTTGCATTGCATCAGTATTTACTTATTGAATAATATAATATAGGTATATTTTGAAAATTCCATTGTTTCTACATTTCTGCTTAAAACGACAACATATATACATGTTAAATGACAGACATAAAATAATTCGTTACGATGTACGTACATTACATATGCTAAATTAATAATAATAATAATAATACGAGAATAATATATTGTTATACTATACGATTCATAATATCGATTTTATGCGATCTATAGATCATAGTCTTGTATTTCAATAAAATGTGTCTCCAATAGAACTTATATTACAACTTTTCAATAGAGTTATTTTCCGCTGCTATGATATTAAAATATTAAATTAAATTGCACCTAATAACATTTATTTATTTTTAACTATTGAGTTATCTTGTAGATAAATACATTCGAACGCGACAATGGTAGTGGTGTATCATAATTAATTAAATGCATGTTATAAAAATCATAAAATAATCCAGAAATAAATTATATTATTATTACCGTTCATGAAGCGTCCGCCCTTCTATAATAAAAATAATATTATTTTATGCTAAAACACGCCAAACACAAAATGAATCCAATTATAGTGCTTCTCATACATTGCAAATAGTATCAATGGTTATTTTATTTATTTTCCGTTTTTATATGACAATTTTACTTCCGTTCTCGTGTATCTAATACCTATAATATACATTTGACGAGTAATTAAGTAGCATACATGATTAGGTAATTGATATTATAATGATTAATATTATTACTGCTGTACACGCATAATGTTTCAATGTACGATGAAAAAAAAATATAATGGTTTTAAAATTGTCGGATATTAAAAAAATTAGTAGTAGTAGCCGTTATGCCTCGTTCGTTTTTCGCTTCTAATTCGATTAGTTTTCGTGGAATTAATTATATATTATGTAAAAAAAATTAACAGTCGGATAATAGGCTCGAGATTACTCGTATCGGTAATATATTGAAGTTGTGCGCTATGTAGCATAATATAGAAATTAGGGATATGAAGATGATTTTTTGAGAAACAAACACGATAGAGTAGTTATAAACAACTTTGTACACACAACATTTTTTCACAATACCTAGGTCGCGTTGGTATATACAGATGTACACAGGTTTATAACAGATATCACTAAACATATTATATATATATATATATATTTCGTCAAATCGGCGTTTTCAGCTTATTCGAAATCACGCTATAATAATATAATTATATAGGTAGAATAATAATATAGTCGTATATATTTTCACGTTTTTAGCGTATCTGTATTACTTGTATCGAGTATAGTAGAAAGACGTCTTCGGCAGCCTCTGTGGGATACGATAGATATCAAAGAGTAGACGAGTGTTTTTTTAAATTTTTTTCAACGCTTCAATAGTTTAACGCGACGTGTACACTTTCGCGTGGCGGTCCAGTGCAGGTGGAGAGAAGAGGCCGACGCGTGTCGCATGTCTCGTCAAGTTCAACTGTTCAAGGCGTAAATATATTATTTTTATCATTTTAATTTACAACGTACCTAAACCTATACAGCGCTAGTGTTGTGTGCAAAACTGCTGCAGGTATAACATTATTGAGTCTGGACCATCGAAATACGAGTATCTACCTATACATAATACGTTAAACATCATCATAATACTGCAAATATATCGGCGCCAGTCGGAGACATCTCGTAAAAAACAACTTTATTACTTACGAGCATACAAGCGCGACGGTGTACAAGCATATATAGTGTATACACATATCTATAATATGAGTTTAAGTATTAAGATAATAATAATATGTTACATGTAGGTTATACCTCGAGAACGGTTCAAGTTTATAACGGAATCGTCACGTGTATAATATAATATATGGTATAATGTGTATTGTATGGAATGATTCGCCGAATTATGATTTTTGGGATTATTAAGTTTAAGTCTTATTTACAACAATCAACACCATAATACTTGTTTTTTTTTTGGCATTCGAGATGTAGCGTCCTGTGGTGATGCAGACTTTTTTAAACGAAAACCTTCTTTTCGACTGTTATTAATTATTGTTTAACCTGAAGTTTCTTATGTATTCGAATAACCAGTAGTTTTTAAGTTTTAAAACTTTATACATACTTATATGAATATGTAAACTAATCACTTGAGCTAAAAATGTGCAGTAATATTGGAAGGTTTTTGTTTGAAAAAAAAATTAAATCACCATATTATAGGACTTTCTCAAATGACACACAAATCATTTGAAAATATAATCTTTAATAAAAGTACCTACTTACTTGAAAATTCTAAAAATTGTAACTTGATCCATAGTTAATATGTAACATGGGTCTGATAGAATGAATATATGTATGGTGAGTTATATTGTATATTATAAAATATTTAATCCTTTACATTTAATTATACTAAATAGATTTCGGAAGTGAGGGTTTAGGGTGATACACAAATTTCATAGGATCAGTGGGTATTTAGTTTTATATACTTACATGAAGAAGTGATTAAATAATTCTGTGCCATCCTAAACATAAAAATTATAATATAATAGTCACCAAGATAATAATGATATAAGTTCAAATAATATATTAAACGATTTTACTATAAGTAGTTAAAGTTAATGTGAAAATTACCTAATTTCACTTCACTCCAATGATTTTCATGTCACATAATATACCCTTTTTTGCTATTCATTCGAGTTTATATACTCCGAGAAGCTGGAGAAAAAAGTATATCATCACATATAGATCACATATATCAGATACCTTCAAAATTAATATTAATCGCGTGTCTAAAGCTGAGATGGTACGTCAATTTAGCTTTTAATATAAAACTGATATGATACAAATACACTTAACCAATGAAAATATCTTTATGAACATTTTTTGCTTAGCACGGCTACAGAATCCTTTTTTTTTCAATCGTCATCATATTAATATGAATTTATAACATTATGACGCAATCGTTTTGGTAAATACTGCATAATAATAGCAATATATACATAGATACCTAATTATTGTTTCAATTCTATTGAATAGGTATATGTACAGTATTAATATTTCTAACACTTTGATTGGTAGGTTAATACTTAATCCTTTGAAGGGAATTATAAAACACATTTTTTTTTGTGAAAAATCGTTTCTTTTGAACTCAACCTGCATACAACATTTCACTGTATAACTTTACGATATAATATTAACCAACATAATATATATTAATATAATAACATATATAGCTGCAGGCGCCATATTATAATATACAATATATTATATGTTATAATTTTTCCGCAACRGTTGGTTTTTTGTTTTCACCGATTTGATAGTACTTCGGTGCTAGTCGACCTTGATTTTTCCGCGTATTTCATACTTGACTAAATATTTCATTCGATTTCTTTCACAGATATCACGTATCATGATACCTCGAACGTTACGCATATAATTATAATACATGTATTATGGGTACATACATAATATTAAACTTATTTATTTTTATTGCAATTAAAAATCACTATGTTTAGTAATTTATTTTAATTTTATTATTCGTATTATTACGATTTTTTTTTTTTTAGTACAATTAAAATGTTTTGCATTTAGTGCATGCTATTACAAGTTTTAAATTACAATTCTGTTATATTTTTGTATATTTTGTGGGTACGTAAAACTGATAAATTAGTTGATCGTGATGCATATGGCTTAATAACAATATTTAAGATTTATGATTCCTATTTTTTTTCGATTCGCTAATATAATAATATTAATAACATATTACATATTCTAGTATATTAAAAATTAATTTTATATAAGTCGCATTAAGTTTTCGTGAGCAAGACGTACCTATTAATACCAATTAATTGTTGTGTTAAAAAGTGTTAAAAAAAAACAACTCATTTTCAATAACCGCATTGCATCATGTTTCGCATTCAGAATTCCTCTTTGGGCTAGTCAGAACAGTGCGTATAATATTTAAGTTTCTTCCGCATTACAAAAAAATCAAA